TGGGCCTATGCATATTTATTTAGGAGTCCATTCAGTATTTTAAGGAGCGGGATCAAGGGTTTCCTGACCCACTTCTTACAATGTATGAAGTAGCTTACAGCAAAAAAAAAAGCTTAATGACTCTTCTGGGTAACTGAACGAATTATTTTAATAAAAATTTAAATGGAGAACATATTTTACATTGTCATATTCATGCAAACATGGTTCCACTCCAACCTCACTTACTCCCCATTTCCCCTATATAAAGAGTTCTTTATACAGAAATCTCCTGAACAGAAGTCTCTCTATTTACATGTATAGAGAGGGATCACTCTCTGTCTAGCTTATGGCACCCTGTGTCTTTTGCAGTGTTTTGCAGTGTTTATTCTCCTCACAGAAACAGTGAACAGGGACATGCAGCAGCAACAGCAGCAGCCAGCCAGACTCACTACAGCTCCCAGAATGCTTTGAGGGAAGCCATGACTGACTGAAGTGGTACTAGAGTGATTTAAATGTGGCGTGGATGTGGAGAAGGCAAGCAATCAGGGGTGACAGTGAACACAATGGAGCCCACAATGGCAGCCTCCAGTGCCGTTTTGTGTTCCTCACAGGGCAACACAGCACTCGTCCCAACTGCCTGCCTTCTGAGATCTGGGATCGTTGCCATGGACAGCTTCTGACACAGCATTGTAGGGCAAGGCTGTTTCAAGGGAAGGTGGGAAAATGCATTTTGCTATGGTCAAGGTTAACTAATTGAATAGCTTTCATTTTGCTTTTCACTCACTTCTGTGAGGCTCATGCTGTGTGTCATTACCATAGGAAACAATTTTGGGAGCCCAGTTAGGCAAACGAAACTCATCCTAGCTTGCCTCTTTTGCATCCCAATGCAGAGCACTGTATTCAGATTATTATTTTGTTGCCACCCTTCACTATAAGGCCCCACCCTCGGCAGTTAAAAGCAGTATCAGAACGCTATTAAAATCAGTTAAAATTATTTACATTCTTTATACACAAAGAATGCAAGCAGGATGAAAAAAGTATCCTGGCAACACACCTCCCCCTGCCAAAACTCCAACATGAGGCAGAGTCCTGTGGGCCTAGATGTTGTTGGACTACAACTCCCATCATCCCCAGCGCTCTTAGCCAACAAGGACCCAACTCTGATGAACTCGGTCTTAGGACGGAGCCTGCAAGTAAGTGTGGGAACCTCTGGCCCTCCAGATGTTGCTGAATTACAACCCCCATCAGGCTCAGCAATCGTCATCTATGGCTGTGGATGATGGGAGGTGAATGCTGCCATTGAGAAGAAGTTGAAGGCAAGGTACTCTCTCTGTCTCCAGTGATAAGCACCAGAACAGCCTGTCCAATAAAGCCATGGATGAAAATGCTGAGGCACTGAGTGCTTCTGATCCAAAACATTACCCTTTTCCAGCACACTCCACTGCTATCCATCCCTCTCCAGTTTTCCATTCCTGCTGTCCACCAGCGCCCCACCCCCACAACCAGTTTTCTGTATCCACAGACCATGTGTAGTTCTCATTGCGTGGCTTTGGCTATCTTTTCCCCCCACCTAAAAATTTATTGGATATACGTAACCAATGGAGCTGCCTCAAGGTTACTGGTACCTCCCTCTCTTCCTTGGAAGAAGGGTTCCATTTTGGCCACATAAAGGCTGGCAGCTAGGAAATTGAATTGGCTATTTGTATATGGGATTGTATACGGGGGAGATTCCCCCCCCCTTGAGCTTTTGAACTACAACTCCCATCAACCTTGACCATCTGGGCTGAGGCTTATGGGAGTAGTTGCCCAACATCTGAGCAACCCCATGTTGGATATCCCTGCTCTATACTTCTTTTATTTAATTTCTATACCACTTTATAATTTTAAGAAAAACCTCAAAGTGATTTACAGCATACTAAATCAAGAAAACATACCGTAGTTTTCGCTCCATAACACACATTTTTTACCTCCTAGAAAGTAAGGGGAAATGTCTGTGCGTGTTACGGAGCGAATGCTTCCCTCCTCCGTGGCTCGCTTTGAAACAGCAAAGCGGGAGAAGAGCCGCTGAGTGGGGAGGAGAGAGGGACAGAGAGCCTGCTTCTTTAAAGGAGCAAAGCGGGAGAGGAGAGGAGCCGCTTACACGAGTGTCCGGTTGGCTCCTTTAAAGCAAGCAGGCTCTCTGTCCCTCTCTCCTCAACACTCAGCTTGCTAAGTAGCAGGAAAGATTTTCAGCTTGCTAAGCCGGGAGGATGAGCCAGGGAGGAGGAAGAAAAGCAGAGCCTGCTTGCTTTAAAGGAGCAAAGAGGGAGAGGAGAGGAGCCTTCTCCCCTTATACCCCTCTTCTGCATGATTAGCAGCATCCTTCTCCACACACTCCACGTGTGCTCCTTGTCCCTTGAGTGCTTTCCTTCCCTCCCCACTTAAAACGTGGTTACAAAGCACAGCTCCACATGGATCCTCAGGGTTTTTGCATTGGGCTACCCCAAACTCACCATCAGATCACATGTCTATGGCCACAGAATGAACCACAAAAATCATACATCCACTGTTTCGTTTAGAATATTTTTTTCCTTGTTTTCCTCCTCTAAAATCTATGTGTGTGTTATAGAGCGAAAAAAACGGTAAATAAAACAATGTGAAAAATGTGAAATATAGAGTATACGGTCAAGGCAACGTAACAGAAAACTAAACTATTATCTTAAAGATTTCAAAACAACACATTACAAAGGTCAACTACAGAATACATATTTCACATAGTAGGGCTGGGTGAGTCTGGGCCCCGCCCCCTAGGCCAGGTGGGAAAGGCCTTGCAGGGAGTGGTATATAGATGGCATCTTACCCCCAAAAGGCTTGCTAAAATGTAGAAAGGGAAAACATCAACATGTGGGAGATGTAAAAAATAGGAGGGGTCATACTATCATATGTGGTGGACCTGTGCAGCCATTGGCAAATACTGGAATGATATTTAAAACGAGTTTAAGAAACTATTTAAAATTACTTTAAAAAAAAACACCAAAGATTTCCCCACTTGGTATATTACCATCAGAAATTTAAAAAGTTATAAGATCATTGTTTATTTATGGTATAACAGCAGCTAGAACCCTTATAGCAAGGAGCTGGAAAAATGAAATGCTCACAGAGATTACAGATTGGCAGATACTCATGTTATGATATCTACAATTAGCAAAACTGATGACATCAGCTGGGAAATACTGGATGGGGAACAGCTTGCAGAAGAAATGGTTGATCTTTGCCTTAATTTGTAACTCACTGCCTTGAAGATCCACTAGCATTTCTTTTTAAATGCTGATAATGCTTTTATTTATTTCCCTGAAGCCGACAGATGCTGATCCACAAGACAAGGGCAGCCCATCATTTTGGCAGTGAAGGGCAGAAGTCAAAAGTCAACAGATTCATCACACACATTGAGCATTCCAACTTGCAACTTTTTTCTACATTTAGTATATCTGACCTTCGTTACTTTAATACATATATAAGTGTATACAAATTTAAATACAAACACCAAAACATCACTTGGATTCCATGCATTTAAAATTGATTTCCGCCTTTATGAGATTCTTGATGTGAAGTAAAGAGTGAAACTTGAGTGGAACACTGCATACACTGATACAGCTTTTCACCTGGGTGAATTCGCTCATGAATATTAAGGTCTCCACACTGTCTGAAGCTCTTTCCACACTCCATAACATTTAAATGGTTTCCTGCCCTGTATGAGTTGTTGATGTATCTAAGGTTTCCACTTTGACTTGAAGCTCCTTTCCACATTCCAAAAGCAATTAAATGGTTTCCTCCCCCGTGTGAGTTCGTTGATGTATTGTAAGGTTCTACTACGACTGAAGCTCTTTCCACATTCAAAGCAATTAAATGGTTTCTCCCCCGTGTGAGTTCGTTGATGTGTTCTAAGGTCTTCCACCACGGACTGCAGCTCTTTCCGCATTCAATGCATTTAAAATGGTTTCTCCCCCGTGTGAGTTCGTTGATGTCTTCTAAGGTTTCCACTTTGACTGAAGCTCTTTCCACAATTCAAAAGCATTTAAATGGTTTCTCCCCAGTGTGAATTCGTTGATGTATTCTAAGGTCTCCACTATAACTGCAGCTCTTTCCACATTCAATGCATTTAAATGGTTCCTCCCCATGTGAGTTCGTTGGATGTCTCCTAAGGGCTCCAAACGACTGAAGCTCATTCCACATTCAATACATTTATATGGTTTCTCCCCAGTGTGAGTTCGTTGGTGTTTTCTAAGTGTTCCGTTCAGACTGAAGCTCTTTCCACATTCAATACATTTAAACGGTTTCTCCCCAGTGTGAGTTCGTTGATGCATCGTAAGTGCTCCACTGTGACTGAACCCCTCTCCGCACTCCATACATTTAAATGGTTTCTCCTCCATGTGAATTTGTTGATGTCTCCTAAGTGCTCCATTCTGACTGAAGCTCTTTCCACATTCAATACATTTAAATGGTTTCTCCCCAGTGTGAGTTCGTTGGTGTATTCTAAGGTCTCCACTATAACTGCAGCTCTTTCCACATTCAATGCATTTAAATGGTTCCTCCCCCATGTGAGTTCGTTGATGTCTTCTAAGGGCTCCACAACGACTGAAGCTCATTCCACATTCAATGCATTTAAATGGTTCCCCCCCCCATGTGAGTTTGTTGGTGTCTCCTAAGTGCTCCATTCTGACTGAAGCTCTTTCCACATTCAATACATTTAAATGGTTTCTCCCCAGTGTGAGTTCGTTGGTGTTTTCTAAGTGTTCCGTTCAGACTGAAGCTCTTTCCACATTCAATACATTTAAATGGTTTCTCCCCAGTGTGAGTTCGTTGGTGTATTCTAAGTGTTCCGTTCAGACTGAAGCTCTTTCCACATTCAATACATTTAAACGGTTTCTCCCCAGTGTGAGTTCGCTGATGTGTTCTGAGGGCTCCAGTGTGACTGAAGCTCCATCCACACTCCATACATTCAAATGGTTTCTCCCCTGTGTGAGTTTGTTGGTGTATCCTCATTTTTCTACAGTGACGAAAGCACATTCCACATTCCCTGCATTTAAACTGTTTTTTTGTTTTTCCCAATGAATTCACAGATGGCTCTGTAGAATCTTGACCATCGTCTTCCTGACCTGTTTGGGAGTTGCGGGGGGAGGGAGAGAATCCTGTTAGACTTCTATGAAAGACAAGAAAGGAACTGAACATACATCAATTCCCATGTGCACCTTCTCTTATTTTCACTCCCTCTCCATTCTCAACTGTCCTCTCCATGTTCCAAATTTTTAGGAATGAGGGTGAGATAATGGCAAGAGAAACCCATGAACACTCCATTCACACTTAAGAGAGCAGCATCATTTTATAGTAGAGATCTACAGTGGAACTGGTTTTTAAGACACATCTGTCTTTTTCCTTTTCAAGTGAGAAAAGGATCTCAGGCTCCAATAGCAGTCTCTCCTATGAGTAAGAAGTAATAATAATGATTTTATTGCATTAGCCATGCGGCCATAGCATAATATACATAGAAATAACAACATAGAATGGGGGTGGGGAGATAAAAGTGTATGCCGTTCTGGGCGAATACTTTGAGAAAATGGGGATAACAAAGGTAACGGGAGATTTAAAACATTGAGTGACAGAGAATACAAAAAACAGGTTCGATTGTGCGGCGTATCGACTACATCTGTGGTATTGAGGAAGGAGTTGGTGCCGCTTTCCTCTTCATCACACTAAACAGGAAATTAGCTGTCATCTCGGTAATCCAACGGTCAGAATCCTGCAGAAGAAGGGACACTATCCAAGGCTGGATTGGGAGATGAAGCTTGTTCACGAGAGGAGTTAGGAACCGAGATCTTTCATCTGTCCAGTTGGGACAGAAGAGCATTACATGTTCCATAGTCTCCAGAACCGTGTCATTGCAGGAGCATGTTCTATTTGCGCTGGGAACTCTGGAGTAACGACCCGACAGAACTGCTGTAGGAAAACAGTTGAGACGGGCACAGGTAAAGGCCCTTCGTTTAGCCTCCGAAGGAATTGTAAAGCAGTATAGAGGGATCCCTTCAGGGGGTGGAATAGCTAGGGCTAAGCCTGAACACGGCCCTCTTGCATGGGAAGCTGTGTTAGAGAAGTCAAGTTGCTGCAGCTTCTTTTTGATTAGAGGTAGGGCTGCCAGGCTTATACACTCTAAATTAAAAACAGTTTTGCGGTTCAAATTGAGAAGAGAGCGGAATTTGAGATTAATTGTAGTTTTCCAAGGAGAATTATGAATATCTCTTAGGATCAGATTGGAGAAACCACCTCTAATTCGAGCATCCGATGGTAGTAGGTGGGAGCTGTAGGAAATGGCTCGACTCCATGCTCGTTTTACAATTGAGGGCTGGGCGAACTCAAGACGTAAGGCTGCACCGGAGACACATCTTGGGACGCCGGAAAGAGATCTCAGAAACATGTGAAGTGGGCGATCCAAGTTACCTGATATTGCTGTAGTCCATACTTCGCAGCCATATAATAGTTTAGGGACAACTTTGGCATTAAACATTTGAATTGCTGCTGGAAGGTGTTTGCCGCCCTTCTGGTGATAAAATCGGACAATGGCATTAGAGGTTGTAGTTGCAGCAAGAGAGGCAGATTGTAGATGGGTGGTCCAGGAGAGATTATAAGTAAATATTAAGCCTAGATATTTAAAGGCTTTTACCTTTTCTAAGTAGCCACCTGTGATCTTAAGCGGCTCCAGCTTGAGTTTGCGGGAACGAGTGAAGTGGAGAACTTTCGATTTTTTATAATTAATATTAAGAGCTTCCGCCTTACAATAGGCGATAAATGCATTAACTGCATTTGCTAGGTCCGCAGCTGTTCTGGATAAGATGACGGCATCATCCGCATAGAAAAGGGAAGCAACGGGGTGGCCTGCTAAGTGAGGAGGGTACTTAGTTGCTAGCTTCAAAGGGGAAAGGGCGTCATGAAGATAAAGATTAAACAGTAAAGGGGCCAAGAGACAACCTTGTCGGACGCCCCTGGCCGTTGGGAATGGGGTGGTAAGGTAGCCGTTGGGACCAATTCGAACGCGAGCTGTGGTGTTTGAATAAAGGGAAATAATTAGGGAAAGGAGGTGTGGATCAATTCCCAAATGGGCAAGTTTGGACCATAATCTCTGTCTAGGAATGGAATCAAAGGCGGCCTCCAGGTCCATGAAAGCGGCAAACAGGTGGCCTTGCCTTGGTGCAGTGTATTTACTGGCAAGGTGATAAAGAGTTAGACAGTGGTCCATGGTTGATGCTGACTTCCGGAAGCCAATCTGTTCTGGCGGTAGAATGTTTCTCTCATGGACCCATGAAAGAAGTTCTTCCAGTAAGACAGCGGCAAATATTTTCCCCGGAATAGATAGTAAACTGATGGGGCGATAGTTCCTAGGGAAGTTTGGCTGGCCGCCTTTGAAAATCGGGACTATTGTAGCTTCTCTCCAGGAGTCGGGGATGTCTAAGGCGGAGGAGATAGCGGTGAATACAGAAGTCAGCTGTTCACTCCACCAAAGAGGATCAGTCAGGAAAAGGTCCAACGGGACCATGTCTGGGCCGGGGGCCTTATTCCTACGCATGGACATTATGATGTTGAAGATGCGGGTTGAGGTAAAATTTACTGAGGAGGTGGAGCTAGGAGAACGGGAACAGAGGTCCGACGGGGATTGAAAGTGATCTGTAAGATTATTTGGAGAAGCGAAACTGGCCGAATAATAAGCGATCCATTCGTCAGCGGAAATCAGGATAGCTGAATTGGGTGGTGCCGAAGGCCTAACTAAGCGCCAAAAGGAGCGGGAGTCATGCCTCTCTACAGCTGAACGAAGAGTGGACCAAGCCTCAAGGATGTGTTGCTGTTTCTTGCAATGAATCATGTTTCTGTATGTCCTTTTAGTAACTAGAAGCTCTGCACGGGTTTGGGGGTCGTTGGAAAATTTGATGATTCTGACCATTTTCCTAATTCGCCTTCTTAGGACTTTACATTCCTTGTCAAACCAGGGTGATTCGGAGAAGAAGCGTTGGTGGGTAGGCGAGGTAATGGTTATGTAAGTTGTTGAAAAAGCATCAATTAATTTCCGGTATTGGTCAGCGGGCGGAATTGAGTCAGAAAGAACTGTAGGCATATCAAGTGATTTTTGTATGTCCAGGGCAAGAGAGGAGCTGAGGCTTGTCCATTTCTTTGTTTTATATACAGGGTAGCTTTGTACGGTGGAACTATAGTTCGAGGGGACTGAGAATGGCTCTATTAGGCTTAACATTAAAGTCAATGGAAGGTGGTCACCACCAAAATATTCAGCCACTTCCATTTTTGTAGAAATTGAGAATAGCTCCGGCGTCAATAGAATGTAGTCGACAACACTGGTCCCCCGGGAAGAGATGCACGTTAACTGCTGCGAGGACAAGGGAGTAACGTTGCCATTTGCGATGCAAAGATCGTTTTCGATGGCCAATTGGGCCATCAGCCTCCCCGACGCATTTGTTATGGGATCAAGAGAGCATCTATTTCCCCAGGGGTGCTGCAGGGGATTGTCCAGAAGTGCTGCGGAAGATAATATAGCATCGTCGTTGGGACCTATTCTTGCATTAAAGTCACCTAAGAGGATTTGAGGAAGTCCTGGGTTAGTTGTTTGAAGGTCATGAAGCCAAGACGAAAGTTCAGACCACCTTTCATTACGGTCGGAATCATTAATTGCTGGAGGCAGATATACTGTAGTTATCAACCATGGGCTTTTGGTCTTTGGAAGGTGGATCTTTATAGTGAGAAAGTAAGGGGAAGATTTAAGTTCCTCGCAGATAGTGAGGGATAAGCTGGTTGAGATAAGACAGGCGAGGCCAACTTGAGGGCGACCCCTGTTAGCTAGTTTGCGAGCACAGGAGCTAAAGGAACAATAATATGGGAGAGTGATACTTTGTTGGGACCAGGTCTCTTGGAGGCACACAATGTCAAAAGAAGAGATAAAGTTTATTGCCTCAGGATCCATTTGCTTTGTCGCCCAGCCGTTAACATTCCAGGAGACAATTTTAAGGCTCTGGGGTGGGTTGGATGCGCCTTTCAGGGAAAGAACTACTTTTGCTTGGTTTGTAGTTAAGGATTGATGAGTAAGAAGTAAAACTGAAATGTTCTGATGCCACATGTAAGTGTAAAAATATTGCAACATATTAGAACCTAAACAGAGCCTGCTGGATTGGGAAAAGGCCCACCTAGTCCAGCATCCTGTTCTCACAGTGGCCAAGCAGATGCCTGGGGGAAACCAGCAAGCAAGAGTCCTGTGCTTTTCAGAAACTAGTATTAAGAAGTATTATTGCCCAGGACCGCAAGGGCAGAGCACAGACACCAGCCTAATCATTTTCCCCCAAGATATCCAAGTTGCTGGCCGTCACTGTTTCCAGTAGGATAGAAGTCCATAGATAAACTATGCTTCTGTTTATTCATCTTTTGCAGTCCTTAAAGGCTCATAAATATATTATGGTCTAAGCTTTTGTGGGCTGCAGTCTGACAAAGTGGGCTCTTGACTAGGAAAGCTGGTGCCACTATAAACCTGTGAGTCTTTTTGTTGGTTTTGTGTACATATTTTGAAATTTGTATCAAGGTTGTACCAAGATCTCGAAGTTCTTAAAGAAATGGGAGTGCCTGACCACCTCATCTGTCTCCTGAGAAATATCTATGTGGGACAAGAAGCAACAGTTAGAAATGGATATGGAACTACTGATTGGCTCAAAATTGGGAAAGGAGTACAACAAGGCTGTATATTGTCTCCCTGCTTATTTAACTTATATGCAGAGGACGAGATGGTTGGACAGTGCTCTCAGAGCTAGGAACATGAGTTTGACCAAACTGCAGGAGGCAGTGGAATATAGGAGTGCCTGGCGTGCTCTGGTCCATGGGGTCACAAAAAGTCGGACATGACTAAACGATTTAACAACAATAACCCAGAAAGGGAAGTTGGGGGACGTCATGGGGGGGTGTTAATTGGAATGTAAAATACACCGTATTTTTCTGTCTATAAGACGTCCCATGGAGGGACTCCAAATTAAGAAAACACCCCTCAGCACTACCCGTATATAAGACGAGCCCCAATTTTAAATCTATTTTTTTGGGGGGAGGGGAACATCTATACACA